TATTAAATAAATATCTATCTCTTTCTTGAGTACCAAATGCAGAAAATATTTAGTAATCAAAACAAAGTGAAAAGAAGCAGAGCTATTCCTCTATAAAACCACTCATCCCTAAAACATATGAAAATGTTTAAAAAAAAATCAGCTCTAATTCATTCAAGAATCTTGGAGAGAACTAAACCTGAATAGAAAGGACACAAACCATAAAAAATATATTTCCAATTTGAAAAATAATTTTTATAAAAAGATTGTACAAAACCTTAAGACTATGTAGTAAATTTAAAAACCTTAAATGTATGATTTCACTAAAAATATAAATTACCAAAAATGAATTCAAAAATAAGAAAGCCCAGACAGACTAGTAACAGTGCTGTTTTATGGCTGACGCACCAGTATGGCCTTCTGGTTGGCACCACTGTATTTGGTTAGGTTTCTGTTGTGATAGGTCATGTCCCTGCGATAGTAGTTGGTAAATGTTTAAAAAGCATTCTTGACAACATCCACAGAAGCAACAAAGTGGTCGAAACTACCCCATGTGAAGCCCCTAGTCACTGTGGTTTTATGAGCCAGCTCTGTTAAACCAAAGAATAATTCTCATGCTATTTAAAATATTCAATAACAGAGAGAAGTATAAAGCTTCTCCGTGTTACTAAAACACAAGCATAACTGATATGGTAATCTGGGGAAATTACACAAAATAAAAATCACAAACCAATCTTATCTGATGAAGACAGATGCAAAGAGCCCATGGTAATCTATCTTGTCACTAAGTCTAGGTGGGTATGCGGTTTTCTCCAGCAGATCAGTGTAGTCATGGAGAGTTCCAGAGCTGGGGTTTTGATAGAAGGCTAGGACAGGACAACTAGGCCAGCAGAGTGGCTGACGTAATGAAGTGAGAGGGAAAAAGTGAAGAGTGAAGGGGGCTGTGAGACACAGGATTAGGTAATGGTAAAGGGGAAAATTTGGCATGCCAGGAGTAATGCACCTGAGACAATATCAAACTGTACGCCAATCAAGAGTGCTAGAGGCCCTGGGGTGGAGATGGAGATGTGGGCAGCTAAGGAAGCCAGGAATACAGGGCACTGACTTTCCATGGAAGGAGAGGAATGCCCCACGTGTCCCTTGTGTGGAAAGAGGGCAATGGAAGTTGGGCAGGGCATTTGGATCAGTATAAAAACGCTGACAGCAGAAGACATATGACTAGAAGGCTGGTATCTTGGGCAAGGACTAAGGATACACAAAGTCCCTACACAGGATATATTATTCAACCTCCCCAGTAAACAAAGAAATGTAAACGAGAACAAAGCAATACCATTTTGCACATATCAATTGGCACAGATAACTGAGAAAGGAAATAGTGCAGGAGAGAAGAAAAGGATATGTGCACAGAAAATGAGCTTCCAGACCTTTGACCTTAGGGTTAAAAATAAGATACAACATAACGACCCATAATTAAGTGTTTGGTTGAAAGAACTGCGGCTCTCCCATGAAACAAACTGATACTATTACTTAGCTCTTAAAAAGAAATATATAGTAACAGGCTTACCGATACAGAAAGATTCACTGCTACATCAAAAAATTTCTAAAAATGCTACTTTAATATACACATATTAGCACAAAAATAGGGTTGTGATTTTACCTTCTTCCTTTACATGCACTTTCCATTTTTTTCTACAACGAACTTTAAAAAAAAAAACAATAAAACGACAAAATCATCACTCTTCTGCTCGAACCCTTCAAATGCTCCCATGGGCTTCAGGCTCCGATCCAAATTCCTTAGGACTCCCCGGCCCCTCCTTACCCCCACCCAAATCTCACTCAGAAAGTTCCCTGAGGGTCCACGCTTTTTAACACCTCAGCTCCCTCTGCTCAACACATCCCCGCCGACCGCTCCCGGAACCCAGGAGCTAGACCTCCCCCATGCAGGTCGGGTAGGCCGGGCCCCCCGCAGCCCCGCAGCCCCGCAGCCCCGCAGCCCCGCAGCCCCGCCTAACGCAGCCGCATTAGGGCTGCCGGCGGGCGGGACCGGTTCCGTGGGAAGGGGGCACGCACAGAGACTCTGAAGGCCCCGGTACACGGCGTGACCGCCCCGGAAGCCTGTGCGCAGGGACAGACAGAATCCCCTGGCCACGAGCAGGGCCCGGGCCGCAGCGTCGCAGCCTCTAGGTTCCGGGCATGGGGTCCCACAGGACTGTCTCCAAGACTGGATGGGGTGGTGAATCTTCTCCGGCCTCACCTTGCAGCTGCTCACAAAGCGGACTTCTACCGGGACCCGAGCCCGGCCTGCCACGCCCACGCAGAAAGAGAACACGTCGCACATGGAGGCCGCCATCTTGGGCGCGCCTCGCCTTCTGACCCTTGACCCTGAGCCGACCCGGAGACCCCGCCCCTCTGGTCCCGCCCCTTTGGTCCCGCCCCCTGCATGAGTGTCCTGTTGGCTGCTGGAGTTTACCCCCTCTGGAACAGGAGTTTGGGTCCCTTTGGTCTACGTTTAGGTATATTGGGCCTGCCTTTGTGTTTTTACATCTGTGCAGTTTTGCATCTGTCTCTGTTTTCATGGCCACTGTATACCTGTATCAGAGCTGGTGTGCCTGTATAATTTTGATGTGTGCATTTGTGTCTGAGTTCATGGTTGTGTGTCTGTTGTTTACTCTGTCCATTCACTGGCCTGTCTTGAGTAAAGCAGTTTTTGGACCCAGCCAAGGGTTAGGACACCCCCAGGCAGTTACTCCTATCCTCTCTGACCCTCCTGAAGGGACGGACTAGTTTATGCCCCAAAATCTGGCAAAAGACAGTCCTACGAATGATCAAGTTGAACTTGTGCCTGTCTCGGACTCTTCAGGAGCTTTGGGACTTTGCAGCCGGAGTGAGGAGTAGGGGTGGAGAGGGATCCGTAGTGGACCTCAAGTCTGGGGTTCTCTAAAGTTGTATGTGAGTGTACATATGCACACTAACCTGACAACAAAAGAGGGCCTGTTTTCTCATGCTGGACCCCCCAAAAGCCGCAAACCACTGATCTATAGCATGTGTCCCCACAGCCAGGCCTGAGCCCACAGCCATGCCTTGTCTCCTTGTCTCCAGTTGATTCTGTGGTCTTGGAAAGGGAACCGTGTCTGCTTCTGCTATGGTCTCATGGTGACCTTTGAGGATTGGGTAGAGTCCAGTAACTTCTGAATAGGTAAGTGATTGTTGACTTTTAAAAAATGGGACAACTATAATATCATAATCAATTAAATATATACTTTTTTAAAAAGTGAGGCAATTGTTCCTGAAGGAGGCAGATGAGATTTAGCTGGGTTCTTAGATTAATAGAGTTGACCTTGGGTCCAGCATTAGGGAGGATTTCCCTGAAGATAGGGGCAGAGAAGGATTCCGGCCTCCTTCAGCCCTGCAGTCTAGTGTCCAGGAGAGGATGTTCACTGCCCTGGGAGGCAGGTCGTTCTCCAAGGCTCACTCTACTCCTTACCTTTCTTCTCTCAGAAAACTCTAGCACGGGTGTCCAACCTGAGGCCCAGGATGGCTATGAATGTGGCCCAACACAAAGACATAAATTTACTTAACACCTTTTTTTCTGCTCATTAGTTTTTGTTAGTGTTTGTGTATTTAATGTGTGGCCCAAGACAACTTTTCGTTCAGTGTGGGCCAGAGAAGCCAAAAGGTTGGACAACCCTGCTAGTAAGCAGTGGGGACAGTGCCCTCTTTCACCACCAGGTGGCAGGGCAGGCCTCCTTCCACCAGTTCACCTCAGTAACCTGAAGCCCTTCTAGAGTGTAAAGAAGTATCCTCAACAGAGGACCACCCAGGAATGTGAAGCACTAGAGAAATCAGCTCTGGAAATGCTGGTGGCTGTCCTCACTAAAGTAGGCTATCAGTTAGGCTTCTTAGAAATAAAGCAGATTCCTGGGAAGGGAATGGAACCATGAGTCTGAGTCGTGAAGAGGGGTAAATAATAACTGCCCCGTGAAAATACACCAGAGTTTATAATAAAATGCCAGCCTTGGCAAAGGCAGAGTCAAATCTTCCCTATTCTATATAAAGACAGGGGTGGGGAGTCAAGGCGGGTAGCTAGAGAGAAAGACGGTGGTCAGGGTAGCATGTCTGCTTTAAGGAGGCAGCTGGGCCTGAGCTCCTTTTGAGAGTGGCAACAGTTCAGACAAAACAAGATATCTTTGTGGAACCCTGTGAGAAAATGTTCTACCTTTCCCTCCTTTTTGCTGTCAACTCTATCATCTGTTTGGGAAGAGTCTTCTATGTCCAGACATTGATTTCAAGAGGACCCTTTGCCCTTGCCAGGGGCTCAGTTAATTGGAGCATCGTCCCATACACCAAAGGGTTGCAGGTCTGATCCCCAGTCAGGGCACTTACTTAGGTTTCGGGTTTGATCCCAAGTCGGAGTGCATACAGGAGGCAGCTGATTGATGTTTCTCTTTCACATCTGTGTTTCTTTCTCTCTCTCTCTTTCCCCCCTCCTTTCTCTCTAAAATCAATAAACATATCCTCAGGTGAGGATTAAAAAATAAAAATAGAAAAAATTAAAACAAAGCTAACAGCCCTCTCTCCTCCACAGCCAAGCCAGGAAAAGATTCACCCCTGGAGAACTCAGGGCCGGCACAGGCACCACTTCCCCTGGCGAAGAGGGCCTGAGCCTTAGCAGTTGACTCGCACTTAGCACTGAGCCTGGCACACTGCAAGTGCTTTACAGACATTATCTTAATCCTGGGAGATCTAACTTATTGACACACCCATCATACAGGTGAAGGAAAAAGGCTCAGAAGTTCAGTAATGTGGCCAAGATCATAGCTGAAAGCCAAAGTGTGTGCTCCTGACTGTTACATTATCGCAGCTCCAAAGAGTCAATATTGAAAAGTTCTCAACAGTTCACACTCCTCTGGTGCCCTTTGACCTCGATGAGATTCTGTGTTAGGATGTGGGGCAGGGAGGTTCAGTGGGTATCTTCAGGAAGAGCTAGCCAGACCGCCTAGGTTGAGCCTGCATCCCAGTCCTCAGCTGCCCACTCCTGACTCGGCGTCTTCTCTCTGAGTGATGGCATCAGAGGTGCTGGAGGGCTCGTCTGGGGAGGCAGCTATGGCAGACGTGGCTGGTGGTTTTAGCCTTTGCTGCTTCTGATACTTGACCCGGCGGTTTTGGAACCAGACCCTCACCTGTAAGTGGAGGCAGTGGGCAGATATCAGAATGTAGCCAGCAGTTCCCAGTGCTTCTCCCATTCCCACAATATCCTCTCCACTCTGGTCAATATTTGCTCTTCCTTCTAAGAGAAGCATTGCCTCCAAAACATCCTTCCCCATAATTCCAGTTGCCATTCATTCACCCATTCATCCAATAAGTATTTATAGAGCTCCTCTTATGTGCTAGGCGCCACCCTAGATACTGGTGATATGGCAGCAAGCAACAGAGACGTGGCCCCTGCCCTCCGGAAGCTCACAGTCTAGTGGAGCGAGACTAATAACAAGCGTGAAAACAAACAAATATATAAACACAAGTGGGGGCACAAACGGGTTTGAGCCTCCCTGAGAAGCCAGCCCTTAAGTCAAGGTTCAGAGGATGAGAGGCCAGCCTGGAAGGGACAGAGGAAAGTGGGCCAGGGCAGGGTAGGACCTATGAGAAGGCTCTGAGGTAGAACCGAGCTTGGAGTATTTGAGGACCAGAGAGGAGGAGAGCACCGCTGGCACAACTGAGAGTGAGAAGGGAAAGTGGAGGAAGAGAAAGTGGACGTGGCCAGCAGGGGCCAGATTACCTAGGACCACGAAGGCCCGGGGCAAGGAGTGTCAACCCCAAGGCTTTTGAGTGGGATATGGCACAGTTCTATTTACATGTTAAGTTAGCAATTTTCAACCTTTTTCATCTCATGGCGCACATACACTAATTACTAAAATTCTGAGTTACACCAAATATATATATATAATTTTTTTTGCCACTCTAACCAAAACATGGATATAATTTTGATTCATTCACATCAGTTGCTATTGTTGTATTGGCTGTTGTCAACTTCTAGTTTGACAATCTAAGGAAAAAGAGACCAGTGCCCCAACCAAATAGTCAGATATTGCATGTATGAACATTGGTGTGGCACGCCAGTTGAAAGTTGCTGTGTTGAGTGAATGGCACACCTGGCTGCTGTGTGGACACTGGATGAAAGGAGAGGTGTGGCGACAGCTGGGAAGTTTATGCAGTGATCCAGCAAGAGCTGGGGCTGATACGGACTGGGGCAGTGGAGAGAAATGAAGCCATTCCAGCTGCATTTTCAAGGCAGAGTTGACAGGCTTGCTGATGGGTTGGAGGTGGGGGGAGGGGGAAATGTAGGATGACTAGGTGCTGTGAGCAGCTGGTGGGATGGTGGGACCATATGTGGGGGAAGGGACAGATTTGGGGAGGAAAAATATTCAAGAATAGAGGTTTAGACTTGTTAAGTTTGAAATGCCTACCCATAAGACATGCAAGTGGAGACCTCAAGAAGGTAGTTAGATGTATGAATCAGGAAAGGGGGGCCAAGATAAAAATTTAGGAGTCACTGGCTTATAGATGGTATTTAAAACCATGGGGGTAAATGGAGTCAGCTGGGGAGAAAAATCTGAAGTCACAAAGAGAATAGTAGCTGACAAAGGCAACAGAGACGAAGTGGGCAGAGAGCTGAGAGGAAAACCAAGAGAGTGGTGTCTGGAAACCAAGAGAAGAGTGTGTTTCAGCAAGAACGGGAGCAGTCAACTGTACTTAGTGGAGGAGTGAGGTCAGAAAGGAAAGCATCTACTGACTTTGGCAACCCAGAGGTCATGAGAGACCTTGATGAGAAGGTTTGAAGGAATGGTAGGGAAAGAATTCACATTGGAATGAGTTAAGGAATAGATGGGAAGTGAGAACGTGGAGATAATGTATATAGCTAGTTCTTAAGAAGTTTGTATTATTTTAAGTATTTGGTTCTTTGAATGCCTGCTTAATTTCACTGTCAGCTCCTTATTTGGCATGGAGGTATAAAGTTCTAGATTAGTATCTAGATTAATATCATGTGTTGTTCCCATAATGTCATTTCACATGGGACTCTTTTTCTCATTCGTGCAGGGAGTATGCCAGTAATCACTCTCCCCCAGCTTCCTGGCACAGAGGAAGAAAGGCCATGCGTTCCTCCCAACCGCCACCCAGGGCCTTGTGGAGAGTAGTGCCTGTCCTCAGGGGCAGCCCAGCCCCCACAGAACTCCCTTCTCCTACCTGGTTCTCTGTGAGGTTGAGCCGGGCTGCCAGCTGGGCTCTGTTCTTCCCTATTAGATTGTGCTGTTTGGCAAACACTCTCTCCAACTCTTCCAGCTGCTCCAAGTTAAACATAGTTCGAACCCTCTTTTGGGGTCTCTCAGTGTCCTGAAGGTCCTTGGCTGGGGCCCCACCTGGGGGACTCCAGTGGCCTGGGCAGTGACCCAGCTCCAAACCTAAAGAGCAACCAGCAGGAGGGGAGGTTAGCCAGCACCCACCTACCCGCCCATCTTGGGGGAGACAGAACAAGCTGGCAGCTCCACTGCCCTGCCTTGCCATTGGCCAGTTAACACATCAAGAGGCACAGCAGGAAGAGACTGCACAGAAATGAGAGAACATGCACTAGTGAGGCAGAAGGGACAATGTCATGAGACTTCCTTCGTCCCCGCTGTTTTCCAGCTGAGTGGCTCAAGTTCTGGCCCTATGAGGAATCGCCAAACCTCTGTCTCTGCTTGCCCACCACTCCTTTCCTTGGCTACTTCAGGAAACCCCATGGGATGGGTAGAGAAGGGATCCTCAAGGGTCCCCCTTTTCATTCATTAAACATACAACTTTTGAATGGCTAGTATGTGCAAGGCATGGTCAAAACAGAAAATCCGTATAGAGCAGTAGAAAAGGTAAATAAAATATTGAGTGTGTCAGACAGTGATTAGTGCTAATGAGAAGAATAAATCAGGAAAGGAGAAGGCTAGTGTGTATGTATATTGGCAGGGGAAGAGGGTAGTTTGCAGCATCTTTACAAAGAGGAGCCACCTCCATGAGGGGACATTTGAACAGGGCCACTATGTACAGCGTGCGTCCTGCACACGGGTGCCCAGCTGAGAGGGTAAATGGAGTCTGAAATTCTGCCCACTCTCCACAGGTCAAGTGTTGCCCCCTGACAAGGTTTTGTGTCTGCCTGGAGGAAGGGGTGCCTTTTTCTCCTGCATGCAAAGGTGCTGTTAAGCTCACGGAGATGTGGGCTTGTGCAGATGAAGATTCATCCACCAGGGGGCAGTACCTAAATTATAACTAGAAAGGAATGAGAAAGTGAGCCTTAGGACCGACAGACCGAGAGTGTTCCAGACAAAGGAGCGGAAGTGCAGCGCTGAGACCCCCTCAGTTCCCTTTAGCCTTGGGGAGGCTCCAGGGTTGGCAGACAAACTGCTCCAGTGAAGAGAGTGAGGCGTGGGCCATGGCTGCCCAGGACACCAGCCACGGGTCCCACCAGGCTTGCCATAAGCATTAGCATAATAGCAAGAGATGAGAAAACATCAGTGGGGCCTGATTAAATAAATCATGGTAAATCCTTACAACGGACCACTCTGAGATGTAAAGAAGCTCTATATGGGTTGCTTTGGAAAAATCACCAAGCTATATGGTCAAGTAAAAAAAGTAAGGTGCAGAGCAGTGTGTCTAGTATGGGGGGAATGTGTGTTCGGGTATTAAATATGCATAAAATATTTCTGGAAGAATAAAGAAACTTCTGTGCCCTGACTGGGTGGCTCAGTTGGTTGGAGCATCATCCCTCACACCAAATGGTTGTGGGTTCAATTCTCAGTCAGGACACATACCTAGGTTTCAGGTTTGATCCCAGTTTGAGGCAGCTATGGGAGGCAGACAATCAAATGTTCCTCTCTCACATCGATGGCATCTCTATCTCTCCCCTTTTCTCTCTTTCTAAAAAAAATCAATAAAAATATCCTTGGGTGATGATGAAAGAGAGAGAGAGATCGAGGAAGAGAGGAAGGAAGGAAGGAAGGGAGAAACTGGTCTTGTTGGTTGCTTGTAGGGTGCGGGGAGCTAGGTGACTGGAGTTCAGCCACTCCATCTATCTTAGTAAACATTTTGACATTTGAACTGTGTGAATGTAATACCTCAACAAAAACTAACTTGAAAAACTAGACTAATGTAAAGTAGTTAACTGCAACTCAGACCTCAGGCATGTGGGGAGGTTGAGAAAATGTGGCTTGGGGTCGGTGTGGCCGGGGCTGGGGAACCAGGCTTCCTCTCCAGCACAGGTGGGAAGGATGCCCAGCTAGCTGCAAGGGGTTGAGGAAACACAAGATGGGGGAAGTGCGAGGAGCAGAAGTCAGGTAAGATTGTGTTAAAATGACTTTGGTGTGGGTTGATACGGCTTGCACTAACTTTGCTGGTTTTCCTCAGGGAGACATGGGGAAGCATGAACCAGAGAACCAAAAACAGCAAAAACTCTTATAGGTGTTAATGTTAGAGGAGAAATTTACCTCAACAGTGAAATTCTCGTGGGGATTTAAGCATCCGAGCTCTAGAGCCGTAAGGTGCCATTCTAAGAGCACTGTAAGCAAGCAGGCTCAGAGCGGTTCAGTGTGGAGATAAGCTCACACAGACCTGAGCAGTGGAGGCGGTCTTGGGGTCCGGGATTGGCCGGCCCGTAGCAGCTCCCCCGCTCAACAGCACCACCTGTAGCATCTGCTCCTCCTGGCTAAGCCATGGCCACGGGTTCCCTTTCAGAGCAGCTTTGGGGAATAGTCTGCGTCACAGAGCTTTATCTAAAGGGGGGATGTGGGAGGGAGCAAAGGACTGTACAAGTCCCTCCTCAAGGACAAAGAGCCCCAGCCCTAGCCCCTGTAGGCGTCGGAGCCCTGCTCCGGAAAACCCGCATTTCTCCCTCTGCACCTGCCCGCTCACACACCTTCTCCCACCTCCACAGCCTGCGTGGGGGGGGGGGGCGGGGTCTGGCACCAGGGGCTGTTCTCAGCGAGTACTACTCTCCAGCCTCAGTTTCAGCTGCAAGGTCAAGGGTCATAGGGCCACTTCCCACTCCAACCGTGTGTGGTTCTCAAACTCAGGGACTTCTCTATGCTGTGCCCACTGTCGTGGTCTCCACTCTTCAGCTACCCTGCCTGCTTCCCTGGAGGCTGTGGCCGGGCCACTGCATACCTGTGACGACGCTGAGGCCCTGGAGGCTGCAGAGGTGAGCCACGCGCAGCCCCGGCGCCGGGGGCTGGGGGAGCGGCTGGTAGAGCCCCACGCTCAGGTAGGCGGGCAGCAATGTTGCGGTGCACGCCCATGGCAGAACCGGGGCCAGAGACCTGGAGGGAGCCGTCCAGATGCCCGAGACCGTGCAGGCGGAGATGGACAGAGGGGAGGCAGCGGGCGCGCGGGGCTTGGGCCTCGCCAGGATGGCCTCGATGGAAAAGGAGGACTCAAGGGATCCAGGGGTGCGGGACCTGCCAAGGTCCGCGGAGCGGCTATGAAGCGCGGGGGACCCGGGGGCGGGAGAGCAGCCTGAGCGAGGAGGCTGGATCCGATCTTTCTCGGGACCGGGCATGGCGCCGCCCTGGCGGGGACCGACGCTGGGAGGGGAGGGCGGGAGGCGAGTGAGAACACCCTGCAAAAGGGGACAGATTGCTGGCCAGGACCGGCCCAGCCGTCGGCTGGGGCTCTTAAATTTGGCGGGGCGGGACAGGGCGGGGCAGACGGCCTATTCTGTCACGGCCCAGGCGGGGCCTCCCGGCAACTGCGGAGCCCCTCTCTCCAAAGCCTGGGCGGTCAGGACGCGGGTCCTGGGAAAGGCGAGGGGAGCACAGCGCCGAGGAGCACACTCCCTCAGCTGTTCCTCATTTGAAAATGCCCACCCTGGGAGGGGGACACATTGTAGCTCCGTGGTGATCTTGGGCGAACCACCCCGCCACTGGGCGCCTTTGAAGCAGAAGCCCCAGCCAGATTGACTTGTGACTGCACAGACGTTTAAAATTTTTAATTAAATTTAAATATCTCGTTTATAAGCACAATGAAAAGTGTATTTCCCATTCTGTCCCCCCAGCCATTTTCCCTGTGTGCCGACACCGTTGTTTACCAACTTCTTTCGGATCCTTCCAGGAACCATCCGTACCCACATTCCTAGGCTCCACAGGGAAGGGCTTTTCTAGATCCAAACGGGTGGTAAGGGGAAGAACTATAATAGCTCCAGACTGTAATGCTAACTTACTGTCCATGCATGGGCATTGACGGCCTGCAAAACTCCTTGCCTTATGTTGGTTGATGGGCAGGCATTCTGCCCCTGTGTTACAGATGGATATAACCAGTACTCACTAGCTGTTGTTCCTGGTAAGTCGCAAGTTACTGTTTGTACTGTCTCACCTGTAAGATAGTGCTAAGAGTAGCTACTTCATGGAGTTGCTGGGCAGATTACAAGTAACACATGCAAAGCATTCACACTTGGCCTGTGCGGGGGCCAGTGCTATGCTGTGGCTGTGGGGCTCAGAGGGAGTTCTGGCTGCTGACATGACCATTGCACTCTGTCTCCCCGAATCAATTCCTAACACTGAAACTACTCAGTCAGGTGCAGGGCACTTCCCGGTCCTGTCGATAGGCGTCAACTGGGACACAAACATTCCCCTTCTGCTCTGCCAAGTCGGGGCCAGAGGAACCTTGCCAGGTGGGCGACTACCTGCCCCACCCCGCTTCCGTCTTCAACAAATACTGGCTGTGCCTTCTGAGGGGTCCCTCCCCCATCTCCCCACCAGCCACAGGCAGACTGGACCGTGAGACTGTGGGTGAAATGATGCGCTAGTGGCCCAGTGGGTCCTGGGTCTAGCCTTATTGTGGTCCGGGCAGGGGCTGCTGGGTCAGAGATGACTGAACAGCCACAGGAGAGCCCTGGGGAAATGGCGTGGGTGGGATGCACACTGGAAAGAGGGGCCCTTGCTTACCTAAGATCAGATGCAGTGGGAGCTGGGGGACTGGGTGAAAGTTCTAGACACCCTCCCCCAACCCCCATCCCCAGAACTCCTAAATCCTGCACACACCACTCCGTTTCTCAACATGTTTCTTTTTGAGGAACTTTTCCCCCCAGTAGGAGGGGCTGCAAAGCCCCCAGGAGCAAACTAGCCAACAGCATTCCTTGTGAAGAGGGGATGGGGCCCACCTTTTGGGGCCCACGAAGACAACAGTTCACACTGTTGGTGGACAGTGGGACCCAGTGACAAATGGTGACTTGGGAGTTGGGCAAACGTGGCTCACATCCCAGCTTTGCCCCTGAACATTTCAGTGACTTTGAGTGAGTGGTTTATTCACTCCAAGCCTCCATTTTTTGTAAAATGGAAATGATGTCTTAGGTGAGAATACAATACTTAGCTGATGGGATTGTTAATCCCATCAGACTTAAATGACATTGTGTCTTTAGCTAAGTGGCACCTAATATGGGGAGGAGAGTCTACATTCAATGGTGATGTGCTTGACTAAGCTTCTTAATAGGGTGAGGGGGGACAGGATGGGGCCAGATTTATGAAGTCTCTGGTCTCTGTCCTTTATGCAATGAGACTCGCAATGGGCGTGCACCCCGCAATCAGAGGGAGTTGACAAAGAATAAGACAACAAAACTTATACATTGAAAGGCTTATGAACATTTTGTTAAGTCTAGTTGTGCTGATTTTTAGGTAAAATATATGGTCAGTGTATATCTGCTTTGGATTTTCAGTACACAATTAACTATGTTTCAGTAGATACTTACCTGTTTTCTGTTATTTCACTTATTCTTCCTCGGACTGTAAGTTCCTGAGGATAAACATTACTATTCCCAAGTTATATAGGAGTAAATAGAGGGAGAGAAATCAGTAGGCTGCTTAGCTATGTGACTTTTAGCAAAATGTGGTTTTCATCTACATTCATGTGCCTGAAGACTGTTCAGGTTGAGCATCTTGGATGTCCAGGCAGATACCCAGCGAAGTGCCTGTTAAAGTGCTCATATTTACTAACCTCAGACAAAAAAATTTTAGAAGTCCAATGTGCCATCCACTGTGTCACAGAGGTGCCTGCAGACTAGATTTTGAATCAAAAGGTTACAAGAGACCTACAGGACATTATATATTAATATGTTTCAATACAGCAACAAGTATAATAATTATAAACCTAGTGACAGGCCATCAAAATACATGAAGTAAAAACTGACAGAATTGATGGGAGAAATTGACAGTTCCACAATAATAGTTGGAGATTCCAAAACCTCTAGAACAACCAGGAAAAAAAAATAAATAAGGAAATAGAGGACCTAAATAACACAAGAAACTGGCAGACACACATAGAAGACTCTTCCCAAGAACAACAGAATCCACAGTCTTCTAAAGTGCACATGGGACAATTTCCAGGATAGACTCTAATTAGGCCACAGATTAAGTCTCAGTAGATTTTAAGATGTAAATATACAAAGTATGTTCTCTAACCTCAACAGGATGAAATTAGAAATCAGTTTTAAAAAGGAAAACTGGGAAATTCAGAAAATTGTGGAAATCAAACATCATGTTTTTAAACAACAAATAAATTGAAGAAGAAATCACAAGAAAAAAACAGAGAATACTTAGAGATGAATGAAAATGAAAACACAACTTACCAAAACTTAAGGGACTAGTGAAAGCAGTGGTAAGGAGGAAGTTTATAGCTGTGAGTGCTTACATTTAAAAACAAGAAGGATGTCAAGTCAACAACTTAACTTTACAACTTAAGGAACTAGAAGAAGAAAGGATAAACTAAACCCAAAGCTAGCAGAAGGAAGGAAAAATAAAGATTAAAGCAGAGATAAATGAAAGGCAGAACTGAAAAACATAGAAAAAAATCAGTGAAACCAAAAGTTGGTTCTCTGAAGAGATCAACAAAATCAACAAACCTTTACCTAGATGAACTAAGAAAAAAAGAGAGAAGATACTTTACTAAAATTAGAAATGAAAGTGGGAATATTACTACTAATTCTACAGAAACAAAAAAGATTATGACCAAGTACTATGAACAGTTGTACCCCAATAAACTAGGTAACATAGATAAAATAGACAAATTAATAGACACCACAAAAACTGCCAAGACTAAATCATGAAAAAATAGAAAATGTGAGTAGACCTATAACTAGTATGGAGACTGAATCGGTTATTAAAAAAAAAAATCTGTCAACAAAGAAAAGCCCTGGAGCCCATGGCTTCACTTGTGAAGTCTACAAAACATTTAAAGATTTAAATGTTTACTTATCCTTCTCAAACTCAAAAAATTGAAGAAGAGGAAATGCTCTCTAACTCATTTTATGATGCCAACATTACCCTGATACCAAACTTAGGAAAGGACAATGCAAAAAAAAAAATTATAGGCCAATATCTCTAATGAACATAAGAGGTAAACATCTTCAGCAAAATATTAGCAAACTGCACACAACAATACATTAGGATCACACACTGCAGTCATTCCAGGGATGCAAGGATGGTTCAGTATCCTCAGTCAGTGTGATACTCCACCCCAACTAAATGAATGGTTAAAATAATGCAATCTCAACAGATACAGAAAAAGCATCTGACAAGGTACAACATACATTTACGGTTTTAAAAAACTCAATAAAATGGGTGTAGAAAGAAAGTACTTCAACATAATAAAGGCCACATATGACACACTCACAGGAAACATACTCAATGGTGATAAAGAATACCCAGTCTCACCACTGCTATTCAATGTAGTACTGGAAGTTTCAGTCAGAGCAATGAGGTAAAAAATAATAAGCAATAATAGCAATAATAAGATGGAGCATATTAAATGATTGGCATGTTAAGGTCATTGTCATGTCAGGAGAATAATTTAAAATATTGATCAATTTTATTAGTAGGTAAAAATATTGGTTAAGCTTAGGTAAATAAAACCAGTAGATCAGCCCTGGTTGGTGTGGCTCATTTCGTTGGGCATTATTTTGCAAAGCAAACGATCACCAGTTTGATTCCCAATCAGGGCATATACCTGGGTTGCAGGCCAGGTCCCCAATAGGAGACGTGCAAGAAGCAACCTCACACTGATATTTCTCTCCCTGTCTTTCTCCTTCCCTTCCCCTCTCTCTAAAAAATAAATAAATAAAACCTTAAAAAATAAAGCTGACATCCCATCTTTAATTAAAAAATATTTAATTTAATCAAACTAATAGATAGACTTAGAAACTTATGCAATTAATGTAAAAATAGTTAATGTTTACAATATGTCTTTCTTTGGTTTATAATCAATTTTAAAGCTACAGCTATATAAAATTTCTGTGTAAACGTGTATTTCTTTTTTTGAGTTTATGGCTATGAAAACACCAACTATTTTGTTACAGCTGGCTGTTTTTATAAGTGTATCACAACTTTCTTCATGCAGAAATATCCTGATTAGGAGAGGTTATTGACTGTAACTTCACAATTAAAATTGTTTTTGTGGTAAAAAGGGCAAAGACTAAGAATCTAAATACAATCCATAGTTTCCAAGCCAGCAAAGGATTTTTAGATGGGAGGTAGGGTGTATGTGGAAAATTTTAATAGTTCTCTAGAAGAT